ATTCAGTATATATCTATTATATTCCGTATATTATTTGTAATTTTCTTTATTATTTTCGTATATATTTTTTCATAGGGCTACTCATTTCACTGACACTCATTTTGTAGACACAACATTTCATTGAAAATCAATTCATCGACAGGTTCATTTCACCAACACTTAATTCGCCGACAGCTCATTTTACAGACAATGTAATCTTGGTCATTGTCGTTAGGGTCAGGTTTATAATTAAAAGCTAGTGTAAAATTATACAACATAAAATGTAATTAAGGTTTTGTATCATGCATAAAAAATTATATAAAAAGGCATCTCATTTTCAAAATATATAGCATAACTTACTTGCATTGCATGCTACATTGTGAAAATGTAACATTATATACACAACATATCTAGCACATCATTTGTCTTGCACTTTTACTAGATTTGCTAATTTTTCAGAAATTCCTATTGTTGCGATCAGGGGTTGTAAAACACCATATAACTTACATAATAACTTACATGATTTTTAAAATTTTGATTAGGTAAACATATAAAATTTGCTTGTTAGTTACATCGTAAGTTACGCCAAAGTTTCGGAATTTAATGTAAATTACATAGTTGCGATAACATCTATATATACATTTTATCGTTATTGTGTAAATTTATACTTGGTAGTTAAGTACACCAAACTCCTATTTTGCCCATAAAATTTATATAGTAAAATTGGTTTTAATTTTACAATTTTTGCAAGATCTGACATCGTGGATGTGAAATTTTAAGGGATTATTTTACTTATTTTGTGAGTAATACAAACTTCTAAAAGGGAATTACTGATCAGAGGCACAAATTTTGACTTCCGGATCAACTTGATATAGAATCCAAAAACGTGTGAAAGAAAGAAAAGGTGAATCGATCCTTATTTACTAAAAAATGACGGAACGTAAATGTTTGATAATATGTCGCCATAGCCTCTAATGCTAACGTTCTAATGTTCTAACCTTAATCTCTATCTTTACGCACTTTATTTATAAATTAAATTATACTTTTTAATTTGTGTTACTCGCGAAAATAAGTAAATTCTGAGCTCCGAGCGACCACCACAAATATCCATAAATGTTGTGTTACTGTTACATTTGAATAACATAACATACCAGATACGTACGTACGTACATACGTAACACAAAATTCATTACGCATATACGTATCATAGATAAATATATATGTTGTAAGTGGAAAGGGAATTTAAGTAAGTTTGGAATTTCTTTATAAAATTATAATCTTATGGTAGAATTTATTTTATATAAACCTACACTCTAACCCTAAAATCCTCAGAAAGGGATTCCATTCCCACTTACAACATATATAAATTCAAAGACATAGTTTAGAAAATAACAGCTACAAGAAATATACATAATAAATTAATCCGAGATGGGGAGCGTATTAAGTTACTTTAATTTTTCAAGCGAGAAAGCATCGAGTGACGTAGACGAAGAAGACATGTCAAGAGCACGTAAGCTATGTAACAGAGTAAATTCTTAATTAAAATAATATTATAATAACATAGATAAATAAACGTATATGGGATTTAGTAATTTTATATTCAGAGGAGTTAGAAAATAAACTGGGCATAAAAAGGTTTAATTATTCAAAGTTTAAAGACAGAAAATTTGTTGGACGTGGGGGATCAGCTGTTGTTTTTTCAGCAGTTTATGAAGGAAAAAAGTACGCATTAAAAAGTTTAAATAATAATCTAAGTATTGACAAAAAAATATTTAAAGAGACAAAACGTGAGGTAATACAATACATCGATATCTCATTTGGTGTATAAAACTATTAATGGTTATACAATTATATATAGCTTGAACTTCTTTACAAACTTGATCATCCGAACATCGTCAAATTTCATGGAATTTCAATCGGCATGTAATCAATTTGAATTGAACATCTAAACTTGATTCTATCGTTGCAAATAATTGAGAGTGCAGTCACAATTTCACAACGTTAATTATTATTATTATTATTATTATTCTACGTATTTTTAAAGATTATGGAACTATGGCTCCAATTATTTGCAAAGTTGTGACTTCTTTGCAATATGAGCTTCAATCTCATTTCCTAAATACGATTTAATAAAATTTTTAGAACCGAAAACAAAGCATTTTATTATAGTGTTGCAGTTTGCTGATGGTGGAACTCTACGAAGTTATTTAAAAACAAAACATGAGGATGGAGTTTTCAAAATTTCATGGACAGAACTCATTCAAATCGCAAAAGAAATTACGAACGGATTAGAGTATTTACATTCTAATTTTATCATTCATCGAGATTTAGTAAGTTTTTTTTCAAATTTCTGAATGTATATTTCTCAATTTAAATTAATCATTATAATTTTAAATTCTTTAGCATTCCAACAACATCCTTATTAATGACCGTAAAGCCTTAATCGCTGATTTTGGTTTAGGGAAACAAATTGATAAAACTCCGACCTCAACAAGTTCAAGTGTACTAGGAGTGATACAGTATATTGATCCGCAATTATTAAATGGTGATAAAGACAAGCATGATAAAAAATCAGATATTTATAGTTTAGGTGTATTGTTCTGGGAACTTACAAGTGGAGCTCCTCCATTTCAACACCTTCGCAAAGAAGCTATATGGCTAGAAGTTTTAAAAGGAAAAAAAGAAACTCCTATCGCAAATACCCCTTCAAATTACGTTAGTCTCTTCAATAAATGTTGGTCTCTTGATTCAAACAATCGCCCAACACTAGATGAAATTTCTCACACTCTTAATGAATTATCAAAAGAGATAGTACCGGGGAATTGTCAATTGATGTCAGAAGATTCCAAAGTCTACCAACACAATACATGTAAAGATTTAAAATTACTGATAGCATTTATTCACAAATCGGTTTTTTAAGATTTCTACTAATTTACTTTTTTCTAATTAAGGTGAGCCTAGACTTTTAATTGTTTCGCATTTTTTACCACGTACTATTGTAAAAACGACTAGTGGTTATAAAATCGAAGAGTCTTCTAATGACTTGGTGAACTTACTTAGTGAATTTGCAAAGTCAAGAAATTTTATTTGGTTCGGACGACCTGGTATAAATCATTTCTTTTTTTCTTTATGTTGTATAGATAGAATTCTGATGGACTTAGTTTAGATTCAAATTGAACTTCCAAATTGAAATTCGAATTTTAAGTTAAAAATTTCAGACAATCAATTTCATCATCTAGTGGAATGCTCAAGTTACCAACCATATTATACATAGTATTATTTCAAATTTTGCAAGTTTTTTTATTATTGAGCATAAGAGACAACTTAATGTTGCATTCGATCTCTTGATATGAAAGTTCGATTCTCAAATATCAGCATTATAATGGAACTTGGTTGTGATCCATACGGATCATCTTTAATTCGAACTTCAATGTTTGTTAGAATAATATTTAAATAGATGCCCTCTGATATTAAATAATTAAGTGCACAATTTGCTCATAAAGAAGTTAGAATTAGCCTCATTTATCGCATTATGCTTATAAGCAATTTAATAAATCATTTATTCACTTGCTTGTTCATTTGGAAAATAATATTTAATTTGTTCTTTTTCAATTAGGTGGAAGCATACCTGAAGAAAAAGATAAGCTTACAACACAACTAAACGAATCCTCATATTATCCAGTTTTTATCGAACCTTCTTTAATTGAACGCCATGATAGTTTTTCAAATTTAACTCTATGGCCACTATTTCATTATTGCCGTCCTGGTGAAAAGTTTTTCTGTCAAGAAGATTGGGATTCATATAAGATTGTTAATGAACTTTTTGCAAAAATTATTAATGACGTAGTTGAAGATGGCGACTTAATATGGATACATGGACATCATCTTATGCTTCTGCCAGGCATATTAAGAGAAAAAATTAGTAGAAAGTTAAATGTAAAGATTGGATATTTCTTACACACAACGTTTCCAAGTAGTGAGATTTATAGGTATTATCAACTTATTAATATTAATTGTAAAGTAATTTTGATAAAAATTACTAAAATTTAATAACACAATATGAAACAGAATTCTTCCTGTTCGTGAAGAAATTTTGACTAGTGTTCTTAAATCTGACCTAGTTGGGTTTCAGACATATGATCATGCTCGTCACTTTCTGTCTTCATGCTCTAGTATATTAGGTTTGTCAACTAAACCTAATAGAGTTTACTATGAAGATAGGCATGTGCATGTTGGTATATTTCCTATCGGTATTGATCCGGAAAGGTTCATTGAAGTACGTATGTTTAATTTATTAATATCCAAGATCAGTGAAATGTAGATCTGGGTATTCTTTAGAGTATCCAGATCTTCTAATATTTTTTCCGGTTTATTACTTCTAGAATAAGTATTTATGTCCTCTGAAAAATAAAATTAGATAAAATAAACTAATCATATGCTTTAAATATTGGTTTTTCTGCATATTTTAACTAAATCACAGAACTTAAATGACATGGAAGTTCAAAAACATATTAAAGACTTGAAAGAAAAATTTAAAGATATTAAAATTATTTCAAGCATAGATCAATTGGATTATATTAAAGGTGTTCCACAAAAATTACATGCTTTAGATTTATTCCTAAGTAAAAATCCTGAATGGATTGGTAAAGTTGTACTTGTTCAAGTTGTCAAGTCTTCGCGATGGAATACTGAGGAGCGCAATAATTTAAGTCAGGTTGTTTATGAGTTAGCTGGAAAAATTAATGGGAAGTTTTGTACTTTTAAATCATCACCCATTCACTTCATGCAGCGTAATCTTTCTTTTAAAGAATTGTTAGCATTATATACGGTATCAGATGTATTCATAGTTTCATCATTAAGAGATGGCATGAATGTTTTACCTTATCAATACATTTCATGTCAACAAGAAAATCAAGGAGTGTTGATTCTTAGTGAGTTTGCAGGAGCAGCACAATGTTTGGATGGTAAATATTAATCCCATAATGCCTCTTGCTTTGGCATTATTTTTATATTAATGTAACTTCAACATTTTTTAAAGGTTCTATTTTAGTAAATCCTTGGGACACGGATGAATTTTCAGATGCTATTTATGAAGCAATTACAATGAAAGAAAAGTTACGTAAATTAAATTATCAAAAACTGCGTCATTATGTTATGAAACATACTGTCTCTTTTTGGGGAAAAAGTTTTATTGATGAATTGAAGGTAATTAAGTAATGTAAATACATCTACTATTCTTTAACTAATTCAAAATTTTCATTTTATTATTGTGTATTAAGATGTATAGTTCTCCACAGTTGGAATCAATTAAATTGTAATAGCTGCAAACACTGTCAATAAGAGTATCATTCTATTAGATTATAATAGAATCTTAATACTACTTATAAGTTACCAGAACTATCAAATAATATAAATTTTCACACTTAAAATGCTTTAAAAAAATTAAACACATGTTTATATATTGTCTGGTCATTGTAAAGTTAATCTTGATTTGAGTTAACTCGAGTTGCCTTGTCTGTAGAACATACAAACACTCAAAGTATTTACAAAAGGAAGTACCGTACAGCGTGGCCTAAATACCCAGGGTACTTACTATTTAAGCTGTAGATATTGGTGTTATAGTCGAAGGGATACTATGGTCAGCGTGGGGTATAAGTTGCACTATATGAGTGCTTAAGTAATATTTTATATACTAAGTGCAATTAATCATCATTAGTATCTGGGTATTTTACATTCCAAAGTGCAATTAATCCGTCCTTAGTACCTGGTGTACTTTACATTCTATGCCTCCGAAAATTGTGAGGGTATTATAAAAGGGGAGTCTTTTAGACCACGCTGTATGGTAAATCTGACTTTAAATCATGAAGAAAAGACTAAAGAATATAATGGTTGATACTTTATATATTTGTTAAACAACTCAATCCTGCATTAAAGGAAAAGATTCTTCATCTATTTAATCATGTCATGAAAAGAACTTCCGGAGTTTTTATTGAAGAAAAATAGATTGGTATTAGGGTTCTGCAACTCTATGCACAACAAAAAACAGGCACAGACATAAAGGCACAGGTACGAGTATAGGCATAAACATGGGGTTGGGCACAAAAAAAATTGACAAACATAGGCATAGGCAAAAAGATTTAGCAAAGACATAAACACAGGCACAAATATTTGGCACTAGCATAAGGCAAAGGCATGAAGATTTGCATGGGCATGAGCACAGGCATAAAAATCAACACAAATATTTTAAATACTTTGATTTTAAATAATTTATATTGAATATTTAAATTAATATATACTTTTTATACTCACGTATAAATTATTGCAAAATTAAACAGTAATATTATAGCTTGTTTAAATACTTAGATCAAAAAATTTTTTTTACAGTATGCTCACAATCTAGAAAACAAAATTATGAATTTAAATATATAGTCTATTTTAATTATTAGATTTTTTAGATTGATTTATTTATGATTATCTTTAGATTTAATTTATTTTGCATGTTATATATCTTAATGAAATTATTATAATGGTTCTACTACAAAATTCTGACATCCAAAATCTTGAAACTATAATCCTGACATGATAATTAATATTTAAAGACTGGTAATCACCTTAACAATCATTATCAGACTTTAAATTTTAATTGTTCACATCGAGTGATCAGAATTATAGCCTGTCGAGATTTGGATATTGGAATTTTGTTGTAAACTCTTATAAAATATAAATCTACTTAGGTTAAAATAAAATTTTAATATAATATAAAAGTTGATACCAAATCTAAAAGCAACTTAAGTTGATTCAAAATATCTGAACCAAATAAAATTAATGTATAATTTATATGGCATTTCAAACAATATTTGTTTGCAAAATTTAAGATCTAATTAGTTTATATAACTTATTTATTATATAGTTTTATTATATTTTAAATCTAACTAATTTTATTAGCCTATTTTTCAAGATCTTTTATTTAGAAGAATGCTAAAATAAAGCAATTAAAATTAAAGAAAAAATTATTTAGAAACTAAAGATTAAACAAGGTTTAAATATAAGAAATAAGCTTTGCTAATAATTAGTTATTATTAATTTTTGATAGTGAAGTTGTGAAGTTTGCGAAGTTTGCCTACCTATTTTATAGAACATCATATTATATAGTTATATAAATTATAAGTTTTATAATCTAATATTACATTGTGATGCAACTTTATTATATGACCCATATTATGAATTAATTATTATATAATAGTCATTATTAAGTTATCATAATGCAATGATTATTATTGAATTATTATTACACTATAAAATACTATCACACTCTAAAACTACTACTATATAACTATTTAGCTATAGCAATTCTAACTCTATCTTTAACTAAATATATTGTATAATAATTAATAATACTAACAATAAAATGATGATATTAAAATTTAACACCAATTGCACAGTGAAAACTAATTGTTATATTTGTAAAAAAAAGACAATAATGCTAGAAAAAAGGAAAAAATATTAGTAAAACAAATCTACAATATAGAATAACAATAAGCTATATTTTCTTAAATAATTTTAATAACAAAAACAAAAAAGATACAAAACACTTTTAATTGATACATAAAAAGAAAAAAAGCATTAGTAAAGTATAATCAAATCAAGCTAACAAGTAAATATAATTTAATTATACTCACACAAAATTTTCAAAAAGCCTAACAAATCTAAAAAAGCAAGCATTGGTAACAATTTTAAAATTAAAAAGCAAGAATAACAAATCTATAAAATTATATATCACAGAATTTACAAGACTTATACCTTACTAAACCTAAAAAAAGTGTTAATAGTATATTACAAGTCAAAAACAACAACAGATACATAAAATCATACATCTTAAGATTCTCAAGCTATATGTCTTACAATTTCTGAAAAAAAGTGTTAGTAATATGTCTCTAAACTAAAAACAAAAACAATAAATAAACTAAATTATACTTCTCTAAAATAGCACAAATAATATAGAGCTAGAAAACAATAACACAAAAATATATCTACTAAATCATAAGTCTAATTTTAAATAAAATTAAGCAAAAGCTAATTTTAAATGACAAGTGAAAATGATCACCAAAAAATGGATATTAGAATTACTAAGAAA